TTTATTCATAACTCTCAGCTCGTCTTTAAGTTATAATTATTGTCTGTAAGACAGTAAAAGAAATGTAGACGATAAAGAATGAGTAGTAAGATTAATAAAATTGGTTAGTTTAGCTTCAGTGGAACAGCGGTTAATACTCTCGCCGACCATGCACATGGTCCGGAGTTCGATCCTCTGCCGACGCACACCTGATTATAATGGTCGGCCTGCAAAATTTTGGCTACCGATTTCACATGCCGAAAATTCCATACCTGTACTAAAAAATACGGTGTGGAATCAAGATGTAATCAAAAATAAAAACACCCGTTTCACTGGTCGACTATTTCTCTAACGTAGTGTAAGAAAACATTCACTTGATCTGTAGTGGATTCAAAGCGGGCCACTTACTCGAAATCTAATGCCGCTTCAGAGTAGAAAATAGTTTCTCAAAAGTTGCATTATGAAGTAATGCAATATGCGGGACCTTGGAAAACTATGAAAGCATCAACAGCTGTCCTTGGTTTCTACAGCAATGGATACCCTGACAGGTTTCGAACCTACGATAAGAAGCCAGGATTGTGGAGTTCACAGATGATATTCATCAGTGGTAGTATTATCCACTAAATGAGAGAAGTTAAGAAGGTTCAGTGATAAATGTTCTCACTTTGTAAGTTGAAGGTTTTGACTGGATTCTGGGCCTTGGGTGACACACTACGATAAAACGCTTGTCTGTTATCCAGGTATTCCTTAGCTCACATCCTTTTTTGATGAAATCGACTATATGTGAGTACATTGAATAGTTTAAGGTGAATTTTTTAGCTAATTTCATAATGAAATGAGCACGTTTTTTATCTACCTAATCCGCTGCAAAATTTTCTGCTTTTAAGCTGTAGTACACTTTTTAATCGTTAACACACACAGATATCCTTCGAATCTTCAAATTTAAAGTACGACATAGCATATATAAAGTAGCAATGTGGTGAGAGCTGGCTACTAGCCAAATTGGTAGACATTAATTTACGTCGATGTTTATGTCCCAAATATTAGTCATGAGAAAACTGAGAACAAAGACTTTGCGTGGGCGGATACAGTTAGCATATAGATGATCTGACATTCAAGAAACAGCCACATAGAGAAGAAAAGTTAACTTTCATTGAGAAACCACCAGTCAGAAGGCTGTGTTTTTCTGCTAACAATAATCTATAATATGTACATGAAAATCTATAAATATGTGATGATTTCTTTAATAAATTATCTGTTGCCTGGCCCTTGTCTTCTGTTGTTACAGCGACAGCTCTCCGCTATTCAGTATTCTTGCAAAATGTATCACACACACACAATATGCTAATTATAAGATCTAGTCAGTAGCGCCCACCACATTTTGAATTGTGATTTTTATTTTTAGTTCATTGCAGTCGATCTTACTTGCAGCTAGTATGAGTCACCACACAAATTATCTAGCTATTTACACCTGAACACTAGGTATTTTACGTTAGAGACTTCAGTTATCAGTCAATAGTCTACTAGCTTGCCTTGTAAACGAAAGTTTCTCGGTTCGAACCCTAACAGAGGGTGTGTGCTTCCAATGAGTCGAAAACTAGGCTGACGAAACAGCTGTGCAGCACTCCTTGACGGTTTTCACTTGTTCTTTAATTGACATCAAGCCTTGATCAAAATTGAAACAAATTGAATGCCTACAAGCAAACTAATGACAATTAGAAATGTTAGAAGTTTCGCAACTCTTGGAAATGCAGTAATCCCCAGTAGACATTCTAAATTCGGTGGTCAGTATATATATATATATATATATATATTGACACTGAATCACTCAGAATACCATTCAGAATATGAAATTCCAAAACTATTTCTATAGTTCCATGTGACTGAATGTCTACCCAATTTCATTACTGGAAAAGCACATCTTTTTATCACCGTCTACCTCCAGTGTTCAAAAATTTCCTAGTATCATGTCCCATGAAGTTTCTTCTTGTTATCCTAGTTCTGCAACCACTTAAAACCATTCAAAGATAGAAATCACCATCTGGTTTGGTAGTAACTAGGAGAGCAATCCACGCTGCGTATTTTATTCCATTTAAAACTCGTTAACTGAATGTACCTGCATTCACAATGAGTGATGCTGTTCCCGATGAGACACCATCATCGTTCACTTCATAGAACGAGACGATATTCCTTTATATCTCAAACACTTGACTGTGACCTATAGATTTCTGTTATAGCCTTAAAATTGGCATATAATTGTGGTTACTCCTTGAATTTATCTCACCAGGGTGGTCAAGTCGTACAGCCTGGCGGGGGAATGTCATGAAATTCTGTATTCAGCATCAGACTGATTGCTCAACTGATATTCTCTGAAAGGTAGTCACGTCATTTTTACAGCAAATAGGTCTGTGTGTATGTTGAAATTTCACTATATTCCTCAGTCCATCCTAAAAGCTGATTTATACACATACCAGCTGAAGTTTGAATGCAGTATTAGGTATCCTGTTGAGAAAAGCAAAACCCCATCTGTAGACAGATGAACAGATGATTCTGATCCTCTTATAAAAAAACTCAACTATTTGGGTAAATATTTTGAGGACAAATTAAAGCCATGTTCATCTATGAAAATTCTGGTAGGATAATCAGCTGCTTCTGACCAGAACTTGATATAAACATCCCACGAGGCACCACTGACATTAGTCTAACTATAAACATTGGTTGGTAGATTAATGTTAAAATACAGTCCTAACCAAGATACCCGCATGAACTCCAACTATGCTGTTCCGAGCATTGTACACAGAAGACAGGCAGGTAAGAGGAAAACGAGTCTATATACATATGTCATTCAAGTGAGATGTCAGGTTTTGTGTAAAAGCAGAAGTTGATGAAACATTTATCGCACTTTGTAAAATCTGACGTCATCTCCAGTTTAACGTTAGAACAGCTATGCAGACAGTTCATACGTTTCACCCTCCAAAAAAGTAATAAAAACTGACAGATTTCTGAAAGTTCTTGTGATGCCCGAAGGCGACAAATTCGACAATAAATGGAATCAGCCTCAATGTAAGTTGACTAAACGTTTTGTTAAAGACTGTGAATATGAAAGGAAATTTCGAAATGGCATTGACACTAGAGCAATACTCATCAATTGTCTGTGCTTGAAGAAACTAATTAGGTGATTTTCAAGTGTTGGTTTGTAGGGATTTGATTGGTGACGGGATTTTCATCATGAGCTGACATAAGTTAGAGAACCACTGGAAGACCGGGGAGTACTGGACAACTGTTTCGTTCTAGTTTGAGACTCTTCATCAGTATGCACTCACCGGGATTCGAACCCAGGACCTTCTGGTTACAAGGAGGCTCGTAGACCATTAAGCCACTGCGACCCGATCCAGTGGATAGTGAACTGTAACTTCTGCCAGTTCACGACATAGCGCGACCGCTCGCCAATGTCTTCGGCGAGTATTTGTCCTCACATCCAACCTGCTTCACCCTACTGGTCACGACTTCTCATTAGAACCCCAGGTAACTACCTACCTGAAAGAGCGAGTCACTATTGGGTGGTGGTGGGTACGTACTGATGAAGAGTCCCAAACTAGGATAACTGAAACAGCTGTCCAGTACTCCCAGCTTGTTTTCCAATGGTTCTCTAACTAATGTCAGCTCATGATGAAAATCCTGTAAGCAATCAAATCCCTACAAACCAACACCTGAATACCAATGAGATGCTCACTGGCGACTGGCCCCTATTCCGGTAGGTAGTTACCTGGGTTCCAGTGGGAAGTCGTGACCAGTAGGGTGCAGCCGGTCGGGTGTGAGGACAAATACTCGCCAAAGACATTGGCTAGCGGTTGCGCTATGTCGTGAATTGGCAGAAGTTAGAATTGAAGGACCATTGGATCGGGTCCCAATAACTTAAGGGTATACGAGCTAGCTCGCCTTGTGACCGGAAGGTCCTAGGTTCGAATCGCGGTGGGTGCGTACTGCTGAAGATTCCCAAACTAGGACGAAACAGCTGTCCAGTACTCCCAGCTTGTTTTCCAATGGTTCTCTAACTAATGTCAGCTCATGATGAAAATCCTGTAACCAATTACGTGATTATTTCTCAGAAAGAAATAGTTTAGTCATTTTGGGTGAAACTCTTTGATTAATGACTTAGTCAAAAGAAAGTTGACCACTACTCGAACTCCACAAGAATGAGATATAGACTCCCCACCACCACCACCACCACCAACTGTCAGTCTATAAAAGGGCAAAATGACAGAATTTGACAGTGTAGATTGCCAGGAGTCTTCATAAACGCTAGAAAATTAGTAGTTAGCATAATTCAGATACTAATTGGCTTGCAGGAATGGGAAATATTTCCACCAGATTACTCTGTGTCTTTATGACGGATTTCGAGAAAGTGGTGTAAACTGGTTGATTTTCAACTTGATGTCCTTCATAAAGCGTTTTTTCTCTTTCCTACTTCTTTTTTTTCAGTCAACAAGTTGCGAGCCACAAGAAGTCGCATTAATCGTGCACTAACGTGCAGAAAACACCGCTCATACTGCATTTTAAAAAATGAAGAAGGAGAAATCTTGTTCTCACACATGTCTGATACACCATATCTGTTTAATATTTGCTACGGTCTACCAAAACAAATTTATACAACTAGATTTGGTGTCATTTAGCAAAGGTTTTATACGTCGCTTACCTTACTGTTAACTATGATGATTCCAAAATAATTAAGAAAAAAAAGAGAGAAAATGTAAAAACAAAAAAAACCTGTTTATATTTACACACTAAATGAGACGAGAAGGATAATAGAGAGATAGAGACTGGAGGAGACGTTTGACTCCTAAACTAGCTATTGCTTCACCGATAGTCATAGTCGTATGTGTCATGTGTCCAATTATCAACAAACTTTCAGTGTGTTTGTAAATGTGTGTGGACCAATCAGAATTGTTTATTTCTGCTAAACATCATACTGTACAATTACTGGTTAAAAATATAAGACTGAGAATTACAAGGCAGTTTTTATGGACATTATTGGTATGATATTATGCACAAAACAGTGGAGGAAAGCTGCTTTAACAAATTCCAGTAAGAAATAGTGACCAAAAGAGCTGAACTTTATTATTGTTATCATTATTATTACTAACTGTTATTCGGACAGTTTGCATAACATGAAAATAGACTTTTAAAACTGTCATATTTAATGGGAAAAATCATTTAATTTAACATTGTACAGTGCATTTCAAATGGACACTACCTTGTTTTAATGAAAACCTGCTCTCAATAGCACCAACAACAAAAACAACGACAAGTCCTAGAGGCATTTCTTTAGTTAATTATTACCAACCGAGTGGTAAGTATACTTATGTAAATGTAATAATTGTTATTACATTATATGTCCAGTGAAAATGATAACCCTTATATGAATTGTATTTATTGTATTCACAATATTTTTTATCGAAACAATAGTTATACTTATATTCTATCAGGCTTTAAAAACTGGATAATCATTTAATCCTGTGGTTTTGCAAAATTCTTCACACTGGTTACTCTCATCATGGTATTATCGCCTATAATTTATAAGTGGCATTTTGTGAAATCTTCCGAGGATACCTTATCCTACTAGGTGGATCGGGTACAGTACCATAGAAGAATACACTATCACCTTAGTATTAGAGCAATATCAGACATGTGTGCAGTCTAACTAGGGATTTCTATTGGACAACCTAACCGACATCATGCCTCCATGTTATTTGAACTAAATTCACACATGAGGTAAAGCTTTGTCCAACAGTACATCCAATACTGAACATATGAGGGGTTCTGTTTCAAAATGTACTAAGTGTTTAAACTCAATATCCAGTTACACGAAGGCTTATCACATCATCAAACAATTCTAGTGTTTACCTCATAACACTCAAACTTGAAACATGATAAATAATTGTGTTGCACATAGATAAATGTATGTTATACCAGTTAAATCACACATCACATACACACACAAGAGGGATAAAATTAGACAAAAACAGTGGGCCATAATTGGCCTATTAAAATCCTGTAACCATCTGGTGTTCTTCGCTTGTAAACAGTTCAGTTTCGCATAGTGGTAACTAAGCAAATAGTGAAAAAAGGAACAAAAATTTCAGTAAAGATATCTTTGTAGCGATTTCATCCTCAAAACCAACTATACAATTGCATTTACATACATAAGTTCACATAGACACAAATATTATTTGATTCCATGAAGTAACAAAGGAGATTAAAGGGGATAATAATTTTCAACCTGAAATGAAAACCTGAGAATGTGAACATAGATTACAAGGGGCTTAGAAACAAAATTACGCAGGGTTAGAAAATGAGTATTTTTCAATGTGTACAATTGTGAAGGGGATGAGCATGGGAACGAACTGAAATAATAATTTTTATAACTGAAATTTAAAAAATTAAAGGGGATGAAAAAGCAAAATACAAAAACTAAGAAGTTAAGTCGAACTGGATCTCTGGTAAATGTAGAGGTTGGACTAATTTCTTTTAAACATATAGTTCTGGCTTTTCGATGCATATGACGAGGGCTTCTCCAGCAATAATGAAGTCAGAAGCTCACTGCCTTCAGTAGATTTTTGTTTACTTTGTAAATGATTCTGAATGATGAGTCGGTTGGGACGTTGTGGCATGTGCTGACGACCCATGCAATCAACTCCTCAGTAGTTTTTTTTATATTTTTTTTATCTTATTATAGCTTGACTCCCCACAGCGTTTTTGATAAAAGTATGGAATTTTCGGCATGTGATATTGGTAGCCCGAATTTCGCAGGCCGACCACGGATACCGAGTGTCTGTCGGCCGGGGATAGAACCCCATAGCATGTGCATGGTAGGCGAGCGTCCTAACCGCTGTACCACTGACACAATGATATATACACATTGAAGTGGTCATATGTGGAAGTTCGCCCTTCATAGTGCTTAGAAGCAGCTGCAGGAAAGGTCTTTTTTAGGGAACTAGCGACTCCTCTATTAAGGATATCTACCGTCAGGTCTCCGTTGAAATCCAGATCCGAATAGGGTGTTTTCTTTGGTCATAAACTTCATTATTCTCTTTTTGGCTTTGGTATCATGTTCTTCTCCACGAAGCTTGACGGGTGTCCACTTTGAGCGAAGATATTTTTGAGAAATAAGAGTTCTAGTTCTGTGTAATCAACGCTGAGAACTCTTCAGATACGATGGCCTTTCAAGAAAGAAACAAGTATTATGACATCAAAAATACTTTCATCTTTCTGACTTAACTGAATTTCAACTTTTATTTTAAACTACACTTGTTCGTGATTTGCTGAACTCTCAAAACTCCAAAATGTGAAATAAGCAGTCGTCATTGTGTGTAGGCGTCCTTTATTCATTGACTGACGCAAAAAGTTAATAAATTGTGAATACGCCTACTTTTTTTTGATTAATTAGCCAGACACTTACTCACCTACACATACATGTACTGTGCATTTTGTCGATTATTTTGATTTAGTTCTGATTGCTTAGTGTTTTTTTCCTTCACATATCTAACACAACATCTAAGCCGGGAGTAAAAATTAGAACAGAACAACAACCTAAGTGGGTTTTTTTCCTTTTTTTATCAAACAATCTATTTGTGTTAGTCTTCTGTCCTTTTTTTTTATCGATTTCCATTTCTTTTTACACGTCGATTGTCACTTCACTGTCCACTTAACAGACTTTATAAAAAGTGAAAAACTCTTGAAATTAAAAAAAAGAACCTGAAGTATTGTCAACGTTTATTTCTGTAGACAGGCAGGAGGTAAAGTACGAAAACAGTGCATGAATAATGCTCACTAAAGCTGTTCCTCAGTTCTTTGTATATAGCCCACTGTACATTAAAATTTCGAGAAGTAGCGATCATATTTTTTCAGTTTTTGACTAAAATATTACTTCTACAAGATTGTACAGTGTGGACTGGATATATGATAGCAAGAGAAGGCAGGAGTGACAATATAGCTGTCATCGTCATGCTTTCTCGTGCACATTTCTGCCCACTATGTCTCTCTTTCGAATCGCTCTTCTCTTCCTGCCTGCTTACTTAATCAAGTGTGACCACCTGAACTGCTACACTTCTGTGCTGAACCTCAGTGGGTCAATCAGATTGTCTTCATGGGTATAAAGTTCTTCCCGAGGGGACAGATAAAAACAAAGTGATGATTTCTTGGTATGTGTGTGTGGGTGTAGGAGCGAACTACTTATCATTCTTGTTTTATATTCAGTCATGGATGTTTTTAGCCTAAACAAAAGTGAATGTGTGTTGTAGTATAGTTAAAGATTTATTTGAATTCAAACATCCACTCAAAATCTTGGCGACTATGCTTCTATTCGTGTTTTGTTATCTGATAATTGTGATGTAATCTTAGACGACATTGAAATGTTTCAGGAAACACGACACGAATGTTCAGACATACTGTAACCTATGCTTACTCTTCTCATTTCACCAAGTTTTCTCTCAGTTGTTGTTTCCTTTTCTTATTCGGATACTTGTTAACACATAACATCTGATATTCTAGTTTACTTCGTCACGAAATGAAATTTAGTAAAACTTCATTGAGTAGAAGGTTATTTCAGTTAGTAAAATATATATATATCTATCTATCTATCTATCTATATATATATATATATATATATATATATATATATATATATATATATATATATATATATATATATATATATATATATATATATATAAACAGACAGAGACAAGTTGTTTAGCTAAGAGATTCTTTTGGTGATTTTACATATTCGCATTTTTGCGATTCTGTTTAGAAGTTATTGTAATAGCACACAAAAACTAGATCTACTTTGTACCCAAAGACTTGAAGTATTTGATAGCAAAATCCTCCAGTAAGAACATCCTTCAAAACAGCCATTCGATCGATACTTGGTCTCCATGATACTTAGTCAAATCGTAATGGATGACAAATAAACGCTTAACAGTTCAGTATTGAGGAATCTGTACACTGATTAAAACTTATCGCTGAAACGATAAACACTTTCTGCATAGGAACCTTTTCATCAAACCGAAAGAGACTGTTTAGGAATTACCTGATTTCTGAGACTTTAGTTAGTTTTATGGATGACGAATATAATATCATCTTCAAGTGTTGGTCTACAGGGATTCGACTGGTTACAGGATTTAATCATGGTCTGACACTGCTTAGGGAACCACTAGAAACGCTGCCCCCAATGAAGTAGTGGACATCTGTCCCGTTTCAGTTTTAGACTCTTCAGAAGTGTGCATGAACACACTCAGGACCTTCTGGTTATAAGAGGACCTCGCAGGCCATTCAGCCACCGGGAGCCGATTCAATGGTCAGCCCCTGGATTCCAACTTCTGACAATGCACGACAAAGCGTAACCACTAGCCAGTGTCATTCGAGGCGAGTAATCGTCCTCACACCCAATTTGCTGTACCCCTACCTGAATAGGTATCTTCTAATTCAAAGCTGATGAGTACAGCGGGAAGCACAGTTTGTCTTAACTACATACTTGATTCGTTGTGACTCACCACCAACCTCATTTTCCAGCCGATGGCTTCAATTTTTATGTCTTCTGATAACTGTATCCTATTTATAACACATAAAACACCTAGTTTGCGAAATGGGTATTTAACAGGAATACTGATCCCGTTGGTTTTCTATAGCTCAATTCACCTGGGAAAGTCTAAACAACTTTATTATCTAACTGGGAAAACCACTGTTCATATTATTATTATTAGCTGTCTTTGAACACTTCGTTTTCTCATAACTTTTCACTTTTCCTTCCTGAATGACCGCTTTCCCCAAAACTAGTAAATGAATTAGTTCGTCCAAGTGTTGGTTTGCAGGGATCTGACTGGCTACAGGCCTTCATCATGAGCTGACATAGGTTAGAGAAGCATTAGAAAACTTGGAAGTGATGAACATCTGTTTCGTCCCAGTTATGGTCTCTTTAGCGGTACGTCTATGAGCTCGTCTTACAACTGAAAGGTCATGAGTTCAAACCCCGATAGGGTGCGTACTGATGAGGAGTCCCAAACTAGGACGATACAGCTGTCCAATACCAGTGGTTCTTTAACCAATGTCAGCTCATGATGGAATTAGTTGCCCGTTGGTTCAGTCTTCAGTTAGAACAGATAGTAGTTTGTAGCAAATAATCACACCGATGAATTCTCTCACCAATCATCATGATTCCATTTAATTCAGATGATAACTCTAACGTTTTTAAAGAACACTATCGTGTTGATTTATCTTAGTATGTATAAAAATGCAAATGAAATATCTAAAACATTGGTTATTCAATCAACCATTCTTTTACTTATTTATTTA